TGAACTTAATTAGCGCCCCGCGCCGCCCCCCCCGCCCCCCCACCCCTCTTTTTCTTCACGATGCTCAGCATCAGCATCCTTCTGTAGTTGGGAGTCGTCTGTGGTGTGTGTGTGTGTGTGTGTGTGTGTGTGTGTGTGTGTGTGTGTGTGTGTGTGTGAACGTGTTGAACTCAGTCGTGAAAGTATTTAGCACAAAATAAATCCCTCGTGCTTTTTCGTTTGTACCAAGATAGTGTCGTCTTTTCCAGTGGGGCCCCGGTCTTAGCTGTTGTATTATTTTGGGTGCAGGAGGGTGGGATTGGGGGGGGGGGGGTTGACGTTGTTTTGCAGGAGGTCTGCGAGACCCCGGTTTGATCTGCATTTAATCAATCTGGGGATCCTCCGCCCTTTTTTAAGGCCTGGATAAACTCAGGCTAGTGATAACATCACTTGCCTGACGTCGTGCACACGCACACTCCGTCAAGGTTCAGGGAAAAGTTGAGAAAGTGTTGGAAAAGGGTCGTCTTGGAATCACAAATAATGAGCTCGGCATTTCGGCATTTCATTCTGGGGCAAAAAAAAAAAAAAAAAAAGGACTGAAATTCCGGAGTGTGAGCCAGACATAAGCTTGGAAGCAATGAAAGCCGCAGCTTTGAATTGGCGCCCACATTAAAGGGACAGCTGAGGTGTTTTTTTTTTTTTTACATATTTACGTAATACGCTAGTGCGACTTTTTTTTTTTTTTTTTTTTTTTTTTGCGGCACACCATAACGGTATCGATGCATCCCACGAGGTGTTCGGATCTGTGTCAACATGCTAAGTGGCACAATGGTGGGAGCGTTTGCTTGGCGCGCCGTTGTCGGAGCTCTGTGTTTGGATGGTAAGTCGGCAGGAAGGGGAAAAAAAATCCTGTCCATACATGTTGGACTTAAGAGAGAGTTGAGTCATGTTCCCAACAAGCAGAGAAGTTTCCGATGTCTAAAGTCGGTGAAGGACACCAATCATAGGAATAATGGCTCCCGGCCCACCCATCTGTTTTGCTAAATGGTGTGGCACCTTCAAAGTGAGAGCAGTACGAGACTCACGACTGTTTCCTGATTGGTCAGGGGGGGAAAAAAAAGTGACTTTAAGGATAACGTCAGGGGTGGAGCTACGTGGCTAGCATCAAGGGGATGATTCCGATTTTTGTGTTGTGTGTTAATTAAGACTGTTTACGTTTGCACCTTTTTGGGCGCAATCAACATGTCATCTTAGTGAGCCGCGGGGGTCACCCCGGCCGTCCCACTGAAGATGTTCTAGCTCGCCATTCAAGTTGATGAATTACATTTCTGCGTCGTCAAAGCCTTAGGAGCACGAGTGCCCATTACGTCGATCGCGATCGACGGGTAGATTGCGTACTGATCCCAAGTCGATCGCGAGGGGTGGAGAGAGGAAAAAAACCAAACACCCATTTGTGTGTCTTTGTGCATGTTAGTAATATATTTTTTGTGTTAATGTACACTGCACCCTAATCATCCTATCGGTCTCATTTTCACCAAAAAGTATTTTAAAAAAATAATAAAATAAAGCAGGGTAAATCTTCATCATCCTATCAGTCTCCTTTTCACAAAAAGTATTTAAAAAAAAATAATAAAATAAAGCAGGGTAAATCTTGAACTGCGTCACCGAAAGTTGTTGGCGCTCAGCAGCTGCAATTGCAGCTTGTGATCAGAGCTGTTGCGCCATATCTTTTATCGTTGTTCTCATTCAGAGTTTGTTTCGTGTATGATTCACCGAGGGCACGGGCAAAGAATAGGAATCTAGAGGGCAGAGGGAAGCGCTTTAAAACGGTACGTGTGAGCTACGATAGTTAACAGGCTGCTAAAAGTGCGTCGCATGCCTCCGTGTCAGGCTGTTGCCCATCATGGCGTGCGTGCACGGTCACGGGTCGATCGCGGGAGGTTGCTTGATCGAAAAGTCAATCTTGGATCCAAAAAGTTTGGGCACCGCTGCATTCGAGTCTCCCGGGAAGACGCTTCAGACGTTTCCTCTTTTCCGTTCGACGATAATGTCGCGTTTTCGCCGTTTCGATTTGTTTAACTGTGTTGGGCTAGCATGATGTGAGGTTATTTACGTAGCTAACAAAGCAACCGATGTGCACGTGAAATCCAGGAGATGTTCAGTGGCAAATTGAACCGTGCTGCTTGAAGGAACGTGCGGTAAATGACTCGTGGAACTTGATCTGAGCTCTAAAACCTCCTATTCTTCTTCGCAGCCGAGCCTGTCACGCGCCAGGAAGAGCTCCTAACCCAACGCGCACAAGCGCGCGCTTGTCACTCCATACATTGTCTTTTTTTTTTTTTTTTTCCCTCTCAAACAATCACATATGCTTGCTCCCCCTCTCCGCCTTCCCTTTTGGATCATCGAATGATCCGATTGGTGAGTCATAAAGTGAAATGAACCTTTTGGGCGGATGGATTCATCTGAATCTGGCAAAAGTTTGCATGGAGTGCAGCTGGCGGTGAATTTATTTTTGTAAGTCTCCTGCTAGTTTTTCCATCTCAATTGCGGCAACAATGTCCTGCTCGACTGCTGTTTCCATTCAAAACTGAATTAAGCCAATTGCTGCTTTTATAGTTTTATGCCGTGTGCTCCCCCTCCCCCTCCCCTCCACACACACACACACTTGTTTCAGAAATCTTTGTGTTGCTTGTGGTGCAGTTACCATGCAGCCCAGTACTTTTTGTATCTATCTTTTGTATTTCCTTTTTTTTTTTGTTTGGTGTTTTTTTTTTTTGCGTGAATTAACTCAACCAAAGCTTTCCGTTTGAATGTGACGTAAACTCGCTTGGTCGTCAGCCCTACCGGTGCAGGAACCCTGACACGGCCCTCTTAAGTCAAATTGATTTTTTTTTTTTTTTACGGCATCCAAAAGCCCG